AAAATAATTAATTTAGATTATTAAATTATTATTAATAATTTAAAAAAATTATTAAAAAAAAAATTTAAAATTAAATAATATTTATAAAGAAAATAATAATTTAATAATTAATAATAATATTATTATCAATAAAATCTTAAAAAAGTATATTTAATTTTAATAATAATAATTTATTAATAGAATTTAATAAAAAGAATAATTAATTTGTAATTAAATAATTTATTATTTTATAATATAAATAAAAATTAAAAAATTTCAATATAAAATTATTAATTTATATTAAAATTTATTTATTATATTATTTTGATATTATTATATTGTTTTAATATTGCTTTAATAATATCAAAATTATTTATTTATACTACAATTTTTTAATAAGATAATTTAATTTCTTTATAGTTATATTTATTTATAATTATATCTTTTTATAGTTATTCTATTTTGCTTTTTCATTTATATAAACATAATAAAAAATTTCTCTATAATTATATTTTTTTTATAATTATCAAATCTTGTTTTTTTAAAAATAATAACTATAAAATAATTTGACTATATCAAAATTATTTATTTATATTAAAATTTATTTATTACATTATTTTATTATTTTAATAATATTAAAATTATTTACTTATATCAAAATTCTTTAATAATATTGAACTTATTTATTTACATCAAAATTTATTATATTATTTTAATATTATTATATTATTTTGATATTATTTTAATAATATCAAAATTACTTATATTAAAATTCTTTAATAATTTTAAAATTATTTATTTATATCAAAATTTGTTTATTATATTATTTTAGTATTATTATATTATTTTAATATTATTATATTATTTTAATATTACTGTACTATTTTAGTATTATTGTACTATTTTAATATTACTGTATTATTTTAATAATAGTAATTATTATTTATAATAAGAATTTTAGTATTTCAGTATTTGCTAAAAGATTTTAGCAAGCATTTTTAATTGTAACTAAATTTAATAAATTTTTTGGTGAATATTTGATAAAATATGAATCTTTGAATTAAAGATAAATTCTGAAACTAATAATATTGTTTAGAAATATATAGTCAAATCACTTTATAGTTACCATTGTTGAAAAAGCAAAATTTGGTAACTATAAAAAGATTTTTTTACTATATTTATATATAAATAGAAAAGCAAACTAAAATGACTACAAAGAGATATAACTATAAATGGATGACTATAAAGAGATCTGACTGTAACAAACTAATTTAGATTACATAGTTACATTCCTCTAAAATAATTTAGAAATCCATTTTTACTTTGAATAAAAATCATCTTAAAAAATTAATTTTAATAATATTAATAACAATCAAATAAAATTTTTAATTGATTAATTTATTTTTGCTGTTTACTAGAAACATTATAATATTGCTCACCAACTTTATGAATAGAACTTTGTGAGAGTTTATTCAAAAAATTTTAAAGCTCATTGTCACTGGTGAGCCAACACTATATATATAGTATTTTCATCGACTATTCAATTTTGGTTACATGATTGCAATCCAGATCGGATTAAAAATCACATTAACTACACGGCTTTAACGAGCAACAAAAAATTTTCACTTTTCGACGTTGCATTATCTAGCTTTACTCAGCGAGACACATAAACAAAATTTTTAATGCCATATACCGATATAAAACCAGTACCATGTCTTCTCATGTTTCTTCGTCCGTTTCTTCATCTTCTCCCACTTCAATAACGGAAGAGAGGTCAACTTGCACGATGACAGATGTTAAGAAATATAAGACGAAAGAACTTATCGATTTTTGCGGGGGCAGGAAGATTTGGATCTCAAAGAATCCCACTTCAAGATTTTTCAGCGGGAGGAAATCTCCGATTTTGACTTTCTTGAGACAACAGAAGAAAAGTTCCGCAGTTATGGTCCGAGAGGGGGGCCAGCAACAAGACCTCAAAGAACAAAGACACGAAGTTTCTCATCGTACAAAACGTTAGAAGAGCTGAAAATGTTTTTCACAAATACAAGATCAATGGGAGGACATTAATAGTATAAAGCAATTCAATCCAGATAATGATTTTTGTCAGAATCTTTCGAGTTTCCTAGCTATGGCGATTGATGCGTGTAATATAGATGAAATAAATTCACAGCGAGTGGCTTCATTGGCGTCGGTCATCGTCTCAATATCTGTTAGGATTAATATATCGGCCATACAATGCTTGAAAGCATCATCATTATCATCTATCGTTTCGAACACTATAGATAAAAAAGTGGTGTGGAGGATAACGAAAAAAGAAATCGGTATATCATTGCAGAAGGGGAAGAGGCATCTGGACGTGTCCTACGCAATCAAGGGGAAGGAAGCATTCATGTGCATTGCCGAGGGGAAGCCTCGTGATAATAAGATCGGATATTTACAAGTATTTCATCTAATTAATTATCCTGTGTTATTATTATGCCTAACTGCTTTATGGTTAGCATAGATTCGAAAAAAATAGATTAGCTATAGAAAAGGATATTGGTTGGAACCGTTTGTATTTCGGAAATCTGACAGGTAGTAAAGAAAAAAGTAATATTAGCAATAGTAGTAGTTTAGGAAATAATATGACGCAAAGACTCACATTAAATGGCCTATGATCCGCGTATCCACTCCCTTGTCATAATCATTTTACTAAGAAACTAATAAAGTTTCGCCCACAATCCGGGCTCAATTTTTAACCATACGATAAATGTGATGTGGGGTTGAATATCTGCATATATGCTAACATTTTTTTCAGAACGGAAAATAACCACATATTAATTTTGACCGATTCTGAGATATCGAGTCGGTCGACATAGGGAAGATGTGAAAGCAGTCGCAACCGCAAACACCCAAAGAGTGGAAGTTATCAAGCAAACAAACGCCAAAAGAGGACTGATGGGTTTGCCCTCAATTAAAAGGCTTTCATATCAAGCTTAAGCGTGTCTAACGAAAAATTTTTTTGCCCCAGGATACGTGGAATGTTTGAGCACATCAGAAATCTATGTCAGGTTTTGTCGATCAAAGGCCAGTAGCCAATAAGAATGCGCAATTTTTTGATCGGTATCCAATAAGAATGCAGAAATTTTTGATCAGACCGGCAAAACAAATCCGACACAAGAAATACGAAAAATACGAGAAACAGGTGCCGAGATCAACAAAACCTGACACAGATTTCTGATGTACTATGTTTGATGGTAGTAAAGTCACGTATTTGAAAATTTACTGGAAATTACGTAGTTGTAGGTGGATGTTTTTCGTTACCTCAATGTCTTCAGAATACTCGGACAAACTACAAGTATTCTCCAAAAAGATGCAAAATTTCGTGGCGCCAAAAAATCCAAAGCATGATTCTTATGTTACTACGAGGCCGATGAAAGAATGACATTTTATAAACGCTTATGTTTGTAATTTGTAGGAGACAAAGCCAATACTGTTAGAAAATGATCTTTTGCAATCGTTGTCAGAGTTTTACAATCACTATTAGAGAATATTCAAATTGGCCTAAGTATATTCCGAATATGCTTCCACATTGCTTGCAAATGGAAAGGACCTGAAAAAGATATCTGGCTGTATGTGTAATGATAGCGAATAACGCTGAAATTCGACAGAAAGAAGTAATTCAACATCAGCGAACTACGACTAAAGCTCTGTTCGAGTCTGGTCGAATCGGGTTTGAGGTCAACCTGAACCGATAATTTCGGGTCGGATTCGGAACGGGTTTGATACGAAAATCGTAAAATAGTTTTTAGTTAATAACTTTATTTTTACTAAGCCACTTGTATTTGGTGTCTAAGTAGAGTTGTTCGGAATGTATTGTATATACACACGAATTTTCGTTTAATTCTAATTAATATTGAACGAGAAATAACGATTTTTAGGCTGACTCGAAATTTCGAGAAACTTACTGTTCATAGTCCATGTCTTTGACAAATTCAAAAGAACAACCTCCACTATTTTGCCTGTGCTCAACCGCGACTTTGTAGTGTTCGGGATAGCATCATGAGCCTTACAAAAAGCCGCCTTATCGACTTTTGGAGAGGTATTCTCATTTTCATAATCGTTCTAAAGTATTAATGTGAGGAAAAACTTTATTTCCTTGTTTTTTTCCACCCGTCAAACATGAATTTCGAGTAACACGAACTTACATTATAATCCAAATCGTCATTGTCCTCAGATGCATCAGAAGTTGATTCCCCAGTGTTACTTGTATTACAAAAGGAAACAAAATTACCAGTGTTGTCAATGGAAGCACTTGGAAAGCCATTGGAAGCAAAATTAATATCAATTTGAACCTTCTAATGGACTTCCAATTGTCATGAAAGCACACTGAAAGCAAAAATTGACAACTCTGAAAATTACAGTCTAAGGATATCGTTCAAAGGATAATTATGCGATACCTTGGTATGTAGTTCTTAGATGCAGAAGGAATCACGCCGATTAGCAATTGATTGCTATGAATATTAACAATTCACTTTAATATGAAGGCCATACTTCATCCTCCTCATTGTATGTTTTGCTGGAGTCGTCGCTTATTATTTCTGATTCCCGCAGTTTCTCAATAAATTTGGTTGACCTTTGGTCAGAAGGATCTTGGAAGAAAGCGTCGATCTCCTACATAAATACAAAGATCAGTATCACGGAATGACAAAAAAATCATATTAAAATAACATTGACAGTAACATTAACCAACTACTAACTAAAAAATACATCTTACCTTTTCTTGAACTCCTTCCTGGGAACGCGATCTATGATTCCCTTGATTATTTGTGTGCATAAGTTTGCGTGCGTGATAGTTCATAGATCTCAGTGGTGACGAGCTCAATCGCAGAAGTCGTAGTTACAGTCCCCCGGAAAGTAATGGCCGATTGACGTTTAAATTAACATTAAAAATCACAGTAAATGTTTACTCCTCTGAAATTTTTATGGTAACTGTTAATCGATCTGCTGAACACTTTTTCATAATACTCTAAAACCAGTTTCTTAATAAAGTTTTCGAGATATTAAAGGTTTT